TAATTATTGTATGCCACATGGTAAAACGTTTGCAAATTTATACTAAAATAAATAGATAACTACATTGTAAAACACGTTAAAACACCAGTACAAGTATGCTAAAATATTTAAATAATGATTCCATAATACACATTAAAACACTAATAACAATTTGTTAAAATATTTAAATAACCACTCCATAAAATATACTACAGCACCAGTAACAATATGTCAAAACACTTAAATAATTATTCCATAAAATACACTGAAGCACCAGTAACAATATGTCATAACACTTAAATAATTATTCCATAAAATACACTGAAGCACCAGTAACAATATGTCATAACATTTAAATAATTATTCCATAAAATACACTAAAGCACCAGTAACAATATACCAGTACACTTAAATAACCCATTAACAATTTGTAAAAACACTTAAATAATCAATCCACAAAATACATTAAATCACTAAAAAATTAATAAAACACTTAAATAACCGCACCATAAAACACACTAATAAATCCGTATACACATGCACAATCACTTAAGAAAACACACAGGTAAAGTCACTGACACTTGTAGAACCACACCATAAAATTTGTTAATACACCCCCATAATTAATAAAAAATATTTATTAAAGCGCACTAAACATTAGCACTAGTACATTAGGTGCACTAATATATCCGTATATGCATGCAGGTAACACACTGTTAAAGTCACTGACACTTGTTGAATCACACCATAAATTTATTATTACGCCTCCATATTTATTAAAAAATATTTATTAAAACACACTAAACACTTATTAAAGCACAGTAGGTAATACAGGGACAAGCACAATATCGGTAAAGTAAACCCTTGACTCGTACCGGTAAGTGTTGACAGGGCTGATCCGACCTCCTCGACTTCCAAAACAAAACTGAACAGCTGCGACCTCTTCAAGTGTAAGTGCGATTGGTAGTTTACAGTAGCCAATTAGACATCGTATAATCTACCAATAGATCAAATAGATCTTTTCGAGTGTAATAAGTGATTGGTAGTTTACAGTAGCCAATTAGACATCGTGTAATCCACCAATAGCGTGCAACCACTCTGATTGGATGCTGTATAATTATTCTAACATTAATTTTTTTATATTTTTATATTTTTCGATTGTTTATTAACAAATTTATTGTTGCAACTATTTAAATTTATTATTTTTTTAACTTACTCTTGCAGATATGTTGCAAAATGATTGTTAATTAATATACATTGAATTATATAATATAATATAATGGGGGCGAACTATTTTTAACAGATGATAGTTTCATATTTTTCGAACAGTTTACGCGCGGTTTTTTAAACAGTGACGTCATCAGCTAAAATGAAACGATGGCGCCATCTCTCCGGCGAACAGGGTGAACTACACTATTTTGAAACTGCAGTTTCATTAGTTCTCCACACTGCCACTGGACGTCGCCACGTGTATCTTCTTTTTCGTTAAATTAAATTAATATAGTTGATTTTATTAATATAATTGATTATAATACGAATCGAATTCCATCGAAGTGCAAGATCAATTAACTTCGAATTGTTTTGACTTTACTAAACTATTATCAATTTTTAACCACCCTTAGGATAACTCTAATTAGCCAAAGGCCAGATATTAGATATAGCAAATACTTCAAAAGATAATATTAGTAATATACAGAAAATTTATTACAAATATATTCCAAATTATTAGAGATTGACATGGAAATAGATTTGCTCGCTTTAAATTTCCCGCTCGTTTGCACAACCAATTTAAAGGGACAGCGTTTTTGAGAGAACAAAAGCGCCGACAGAGTGTGTCGCCTCTGGTATACTCTGTGGTTAACATGTTCCGTAAATGTTTCAATTCCTTGAAGTGACTACATATTTATGTATATTCTTTGTGTCATTGTTTTTAATGACGGCTACATTTTGAAAGGAAATTAACAGTGATTCTCACTGATTCGCATCCATGGTATGTATGTAAGATTCAACTGTCCTTAAATCATTTACTGTCAAAATAGTTTTGACAAATTGCTGAGATACTTGTTACGCGACACATCTTGTCAATATGCTAATGCGTCTACTAATTATTTAAACTAATTGTAAAATACCTGATAACAATTACACGTTGAATGTTTTAGACGTATGGCATATTGTTTTTAGACAGTGTACACATCAAATAATGTAGCTGTCATAATACAACAAATTTGACTGTCTTAATTACTATTTAATGTTAATACTTTTAACTTGACACTGATATTGAGTGGATATAAAATTTTGAATTTTTACATTTATTTACTGTAGTTTAAATATTAATTTTTTTATATATAGTACAGTTATATAAGATTAAGGAAAAATGATAATATATTTATTCATATTTATTTCAGGCTCTACGTATGATGTCAGCAATAGTGCCAGGCACTCATAATGTAATTGATTCTAATCAAAGTTATGATCATGCTGCAGAACGACAAAAGTTGTTAGAAGATTTATTAGCTGCTGCAAAAAAGTGTCATGTTAGATTTGGTGGGCGTACTGAACTAGCAACTGAATCAGATATATGTGTCATACAACTATGTCATATATTTGAATCAATTTTTAGTCATGGATTGCGTACAAATTGTATTGAAAAGATTAATTCAGCTTTAAGGTAATGGAAAACATTACAAGTAAATAAACAAAATATTTTGAAATTATAAATTTCTTTATAATTTATAATATATTTCAAAATATCAAATATGAAAATTACTGAGATGTTCTTTTATACTGACTATAATATCAGGGTATGATGTAGTTATTTGAATGACATTGTCAACGTCGGTTTGTTCCTTATCACATGTATGAGATATGATAATACTGATGCGTATAAAATGACATGAATGCATATAACGTGACTAATACTCTAAGATATATTGCAATGTGTTTATTTATGCTGTTTGTAGGCATGTCTCAGATATAGTATCTGGTAGTAGTACAAAATTGTACAATACATCGGATATGGCATTCTGGCCATGTATAAAGGAGCAATTGACATGGCATGAACAGGAACGTTTTGGTATATTAAAAAAGGTACACACAGATTATGGTCGGGGAAGAGCATGGCTTAGAGCTGTTTTGAATGAACGTTCTTTAGAACGTCATTTACATGCTATACTTGATCCAGCTATCTTATCACCTTTTTATGAGGATTGGGCATTTCTACGTGATCAGGAACGAAGCTCCGTACTGCCAAATGTAGCTGCAGGTATAAAAACAATGTAATCTTATGCCTAGCAAACTAATGTGTCAGAAATAATTAAGTATTATTTCAACTAATAGGACTTGGTAGCATTTTATTTGCAATTAGGATAGACAATGATGAATTGGATAACAACTTAACAGGAAAGGAAATTGAGAAACAAAAAGTTTCATTGTCTGAACCCATTATATCATCTGCAATTCCAGGTAACTACATATTTCACTTCCAATAATATCACAAAGAATTAATCAGTAATATTTTACACAAGTATAATTAATATTTACATTAGGATCTACCCTAAAGCAAAAACCAAGGAAAAAAGTGCCAACTCATATAATTTCTTTTGATAATGAGAATGAAGAACATGAGACTAGTGAAACTACAGCTTCAGTTAGTGCACCTCCAACCTGTCTTAATTCCCCTGCAGTGGCAACAGTAAAAAATTCTGAGTTACCTAGTTTATCAGGACTACAGTCTCAACCAGAAACAAATGATAGTGACATAATAGTTGATAAAGAACCTTCTGCATGGGAAAAATGGTATATACACACATATGTACAGTATTATATTTTCATAACGTTTAAAACCGTGTATATGTGAGTAATAATAACATATTTGTTTAATACTTCAGTGAAACATTTGAAGAAGAAAAAGTATTAACTCCAGTTACAGATTCTGGTAATATGGGTGGACTTGTTCCCGTATCCCCTTTAGATCAAACATTAGACGATATGTTAATAGCATTGCCAAACTATTTAGATGTATGTACTACAATTAACTTGAAATACAATAGAATCAATTTTATTTTATTTATTTTATTTTGTCTTTCACACAGGATACGTCTGAAGTAACAGAAGCTGCAGTGGAAGCTACTGAACCCCTTGAAAATTTAGACATGCAACCAGATGTAGAAGATATGGATGTAAAAACGTTACAAGTAAGACTTTTAGCTATGACTGAAGTGTTAGAACAGGCTAAAGAAGATGCTATGGCTAGTAGGTCACAGCTTACTCGTTTGCAAAGGCAACATCAAAATTATCTTGAAAGACACGAATTACAAATACAAACGTTAAACAGGTAGGTAATTATACTGTGGACTTTAGATGATCAATATATATTGTCAATATTGAAATATTGAGAATCCTGAAATTGATAATATATATTGATAATTTGACGTCTCCTTTATATACACAATTGCAACCTATTTTCCTCGTTTGAACGTTAATTTTTATTTTAATATGATTACGTCTTAATAGAGAAAACGAATTGTTAAGGCAACAATTGCGTAAATATGTAACTGCGGTACAAATGTTAAGAAGAGATTCTGATTCCACTACAGTATCTGAAGAAGGTCCATCATTAGATTATCATGACGAAGCTCAACAATATGAAGAGAAATTAATTCAAGTCGCGGAAATGCATGCGGAATTAATGGAATTTAATGCTAGATTAACTTTACAGTTGAATGAGAGGTATGGCCATTATATTTTTGCTATATAATGTCTTGTATTAATTATACAAATAACTGTAGGGATAGATTACTTAAATTATTACAAGCGGAATTAGAATGTCTGCGTGGTCCTTTAAATGAAGATGACTTACCGTTGGAACCTCCATGTCTCATTCATATATGGATTCCATCTGCGTTTCTTACTGGTCAACCTTCTGACATACATCACGTTTATCAGGTAATCTAAAAAAGATAATAATGTAATCTTGCTTTATGATCTTATGCGCGAATTTCTTGATATACGGAGAACATTGTGATTTTAAAAGCAAAACAAATTTTTAAATTATAAAATTCACAAGTTTTTAAAATTTTTAATTTTCAATCCCCAAATTTCTACAGCTTTGTCAATAGCCATATAATGGGACTCTAGTATAGAAGTAATATAAAGTATAAATCCGTGAAATAATTTTTAATTTGTTATAGATATATGTACGTATTAGAGATACTGAATGGAATATCTATAGACGATACGCGCAATTTTACACGCTTTACAGAGAATTAAAAAAACACGATGCAATCGTTACTACATTTGAATTTCCACCAAAGAAGACAATAGGAAATAAGGTAATTATATGCTATTATTTCACTTTTATTTCTTCCTTACTGTTATTTTATTTTTTCTTTTATTTAGGATGCTAAGTTTGTAGAAGAAAGACGACAAAAATTACAACATTGGTTAAGACGGGTTGTCGGGAGATTAGCACAATGTTCTCCTGCATTTGCATCTAGACCAAATAGACAAACACTTGTATCACTAATACCTTTTTTTGGGTAAATTATTTCACAATTTGAATTCAATATTAGAGATACGAAGGTATTCTAAAAAATTAAAAAAGTCATCTATCTTTTTAGCGATACTCCTAATACTCAGGATTCGAGGAAAAATAACTCTACAAAAAATACGTTTTCTTCTTCCCCTCAATATATGGGTTTATAATTATTAACGTTTTTTATAGACAATTTGTACATATACGAAGCTTTTTTAATTTTATGTATAAAACAGTTACGTTATTCTATACCTGTGTGTATATATATATAAATTCAATTGTTGACAACTGAGAGAAACGAGCATATGCTTGTGTGTATACAATCATAATTAATACACATCCACACATATGCTGGTTATATGATAATGTGTATAAAAGTAACATGTAGTAAAAATAATTAAAAGTTAATCATTTTTTACAGAAATATGTATTATTTTTTTTTTAGAAATGTTTATGTGCAATATCGTCTAAAAGACTAACTCGTGTTAAGAGAAAAATTTTGGTCCTATTTTGAATCTTTCAATCGGATAAAAAAATATATTTCTTACGAACTATATAAATCTGTTATATCTTTTATATTTTAGAATAAACATATTAAAAAATATTTTTTTAACGTGTATGTGTTATAAAATAAATGATAATTAAAAATGTATATAAAAAGGTTAATACTAGGGATGTGCAGGTAATCGAAGTTTTAAGTTTCGTTACTTTAGGAATTTCAAATAGCGAGAATTAGCTACTTGGCAATAATCAGACTGGGTACCCGTACATTCCTAATTTAATACACGAACGAAAATGAATTCTAAAAAGGAAAGATCGCAAACAAATGCAAAGAGTACAAAAAAGAAAGTATCATACTTTGTTCTTACGATTAAATTGTACAATACCGTGTTCAATCCCGTTTTCTAAAAATTTTATTCATGTAAGGCGCCTTAACAATAATATAAAAAGGTACACTTTTCCATTTATACTTTATGATAAAAATAAAAGTGCATATTGTTATTGGAACAAGTACATACAATATTATGCTGGTAAATAATACAACTAATCGCATATAAGATTCACAGGTTTAACAAGTTGCGTAGGAGTCTCACTATGGAGAGGTAAGATAAGAGAATTTCATGAACAACCAATTCTCGAAGAACGTATCCGCCCGTAGATCTTTGTTCCTCAAGTTTAACGCTTGTCAAATAATAAATACATGTTATAACAATGAAATTTCGAACGTTGACATTGGTATTTGTACTAAGCATACAGACAGCGTTTTTTTTTACCTTTCCATATTGAGATATAAAAGTTTCTTGTAATAGCAAAGTTTATCGAGTTATTAATATAATTATCCTTAATACCTTGACCGCCGAGTTTGGAACCATAATGTATTTTTTTCTCGTTACAAAGGAACCAACAGTACATTCGTACATTTTATTGTTATATCGTAGTTAGACAATGTTACGACAGGAGTATTTATATTGTAGCTCAAACGAGCAACAAAATAACGGACAAATCTCGATAAATCGATATTCGTCACTTTCTGAGTTCGAGTCGCTTACACTTAATTCGATATCGTGTGTATCGAAAAGTAAGACATTGTTGTGATGGCAGTCAATGTATTAATTGCAATTACATACGCTTAAAACGAATCTATGGAATCTATGTTTATAGCGCATCGCAATCATAGCATCATAATCATAGTAAGTTTCATAACATAACGAATATGTGATTAGATTACTTATAAAATCGATTACAAATCAGACACAGTCATTTCAAATCGATATCATACAATATATTTTGTCTTGTGTTAGGGAGGAAAAATAATCGGATACATCGAGGTGAATGAATTCTTAATATTTCGATAAGGATACCATGAATTAATTGTTTAATTCACTGAATGTAGGAAAGTATGAATACAAATTCGTATCGAAAACATAGAAAAAATTAAGATTAGAAGCGAATAAAAATGTTTTTAATTATAGTGTAATCTCATCATATGGCTCCCAGTTATATGGCCCACTTGAAAGAGTCCTTCACACGAACTTTCACGCACACATTAAGATCATCGCAATTTCAAAGACTGCCAATTATTTCTGATCGCAAATTTTTATCAACAAAATTTTTTAATTTAAATTTTATAAATTTTGAACAAGAAAAATATAACAATTTTCAAATTTAAAGATTGCGATAACAGAAAGTGAGTAACGTCATTGAAAATTTTGATAATTAAGTGCTACATGGAAGTTCTTTAAAAATGGCCCATCATTTTTTTTAGTCTGTATAGCCTCGCCCAGGGCCATGTAACGAGACTCCACTGTATATGAATTTAAAAAATTTTCAAATATAAATAAAGTATCGTAACGATAAAATACTCAAAAATAAGGCAATAATATATATTTATATATATATTTTTTGTTTATGTACTAAATCTTATATCTTAATTTGCTTTTATACTTTGAAATTTGATAATGCACGAAAAATACAATGTATAACTTAATTATCGCTTAAAGAGTATTTTATTCCGTAGAAAATATAAGTTCATTTATACATATAACGTTTAATGAAAATTCATCGGGATTGAGAAAGTAAATCTCAATTACGAAAAAATTAAGATACTTTACAATACTGATTACGCGGTGCTTAATCGAAAAACTATAAACTTTATCGATATCTCGAATTACGATTCACAGAGATGCGTGTAACCATCTATTATTTAAATTTAACGTTCTATCGTCGGAATAAACGATAGTTTCAAATGAACAAGGATAAACAGTAATAAAATGTAAAATACGTTTAATATAAAAAGAAAGAAAAACATATTTTCGACATTATAATAAAATTTCAAATAAAATGAATCAATTTCAATATTAAAAATTTTTAATCAACGCTAAAAAAAAATATATTAGAATCAACTTTTACTATGATTTTGACAATTGCATTGTGCCGTTCAGAAAAGGAGTCTAATCTCAGTTGACTATGGACAGCTCGTGTTATGGTAATTCTTTTTATACATATTTTTTTTTTTAAAGTTCGCATTGTTCCACAAGTTATTTATTTTTTTTTTTTCTTCGTTCAACGAACTTTCGCGAGACGCATGAAAAGTATAGAATTCGTTGGCCTTAGTCACTACGTTCCGTACAAAGGTTTCATCGTAAACGGCTTTAAATTATTATTTACATTTACTAGCTCTCTTCGCTGACTAATTTTGATTTAGCCCTAGGACAGACTAGAGGGTGAATAGATCCTTATTTATAAATTATTGATTTTCGATGTACCGTTGCGAACCTACTTGCGTGTTTATGATTTTGAGTTGTAAGATACTCTTTTGTATATTACAAAAATTCATTACCTAAACACATTGTACAATTTTTCAACAAGACAAACACCAAAAAGATATTTTCATAACGTAGAAAATTATACTATATTTAAACAAGTAGTACAATTTAATTGCGAACATATAAGTTTTTTAACAATCAATTTATATTCTGTTGCATAGAATAAGAAATGATTAAACAGTATTTCATATATTTATTATAAAACAATAAATAGATAAAAGCTATATTTAACTTTACTAAATAGGTAAAAACTTATTCGACTTTCGAAAATTGTATGTAGGAAAAAATTTGTATAACGCTGAGCATCTTACAAATTAAAATGATACATTCAACAAGTTTGCTTTTTTATCTTGCTGTTGTGTAAAATACTACAACGATACGTCTGAACAGTCCTAGGGATAAATAAATTCGTAATTGACATAATCATTTTGCCATTCTGAAGCCTGCTCAGATTTAGATATGTAAAGAGAATGTACCGAACAGTAGTCACATAAGGATTGTTTAGTTAACGAATTATAAAGAGTACCTATATTGTTTCATAGGTAACCAGAGAAATTTGAGCCTAATCTTTTCTTTAACTTTAAATTTAGGTATATCCAAATAACAGGTAATCTTTAGTTTAGCAGTCTTTACACACATTCCTCTGTTTTCATGAAATTGACAACAAAAGCTAACAATAATGATAACACATTATGCAAGTACATGAAGGTTAAAAAGTGGAGCCTCATGAGTGTAGTCAAAAATAATAAGGCTAGCTTTTTTTCTCTAAAGTAATTTTCCATTCTCTGCTTAATTAGTAAAAGTATGAAACTTTTTTTATTCACTATGATTAATACAATGTGTTACGTTAAAACATTATCCTTTCTTTCCGTTCAAGTGAAAATACGCCAACAGATGAAATACGCAATCAATAAATTTTTTTTCCTTTTTCCTTTTAGAGAGAACATTCACGTATTCTTACAGCGATGAGATAAATGTCATTTAGGTCCATAGCGAAAATAAATAAAAGAAAAATCTTCTTAAGCTAGTAGATAGCAGATTAGTTTTGTATTGTATACTTGTTAACTAGCCAGTGCATTTTGTATATATCCTGACTCTCTCGTTAACCTTCCTGTCTATTTAGCACACTTTGCCACGCATTCTAAGGCATGAACTTTCTAGTGAGCTGGATAAAAGAGAGCATAGACCAGTGTGCCAGGTACTTTATGTGTTAACATTTTTTTCACTGTTGTAGCTAGATACAATATAATATTAGAAAGTATATTACTATTGTATTTAAAAAACTGTTCTTCCCTGCTCTCGATCTTATATTTTATTAAGATCCTTTTATTCCATGGATCATAACTATAAAATCGTTTGCAAAACGTTCTGTATTAGAAAGCAAAAAATAAATTGAACTTCTTGAGTGGCTATGTCTGCATATACTAAATAATAAGTTAACCCATCGCACGAATAACACTTGATCCGCTTATCTAGGGTGAAGAGTTTTTTCGTACGAAGATAGGTTTTTGACAGTATTTGATATTTCTTTGATTATTCCTATTATAGAAACATTCAATGAAAAAGGAACATAATTCGCTAAATATGAGCATACTAGATGACTATTAAAATACGACCATAAACGAGTGACTGGACTAATTTGAAAATATTTCAAATACACGTATTAATGTACAATTATCGATGATATAATGATCTCTAATGTTATTCGTGGATGACTTAATCAGGATTCCAATATTACAACACATGCATTCTGTCATTTTTGTATAGAACGCAGATTATAAATTTTTGTTCACTACGATCCGCGTTTATACAAAACCCTACACGCACACCCATACTGCTGTGCCAAGTTAGGGAGCCATTTGTATGCACATCTGATACCACACTGGCTAAAGCACATATCGTCACTTATTACTTCGGTCAATGTTTAATTTTTACCACTCGCCATTATTTTTTACTCATTACATTTCCACCTTATATCATTAGGTTCATTCTATCATACATCCGTCAACCTGTCATTGCATGCTATATCGGTTGTACATATTCAGATAATAAAGTAACATAATACAAATTAAACGAAAAATCTTGTAACCCTATGGTAATGTAATTATTAAGCAATAAAATATACTCTTGAGATTAACTTAAGTTCCTTAAGTTTCTTTTATGACACTGAACACTATAGTCGAACAAAGTGCTTGTTTTACTTTCAAAGTAGAAACTTATTAACTAAGGGAAATAACTATAAAAAAAGAAGCTACGCAAAAGTGCACGTTTGTACACGTAATACGAAACGAACTATCGTAATTAATTTATGCATTTATCTTACATACGCGATCTTAAAAAAGAAAGTAAAGAATGTATGTATAATAATTGTAGAGATATAATTCTTAAAAATAATGTACCATAGGGATACACTATTTTCGAGCTCCTCATTAATAATAATTTGCGTATAAGTAATAATACAAAACGATACAAAATTCTAACAAGTATTTTGTTTCACTATGCAATCGAAACATTCAAGTGATAAAGATCTAATGAAAACACATTATAAAGGGATACCAATGTACATATCCAGGCACATGTACCCATTTTGTATCCGTTATAATTTTGCTTTTTCCCAACAATCAAATTTAATACTCTTCGACATTTTGAATATTTATCCCTGTATACAAAACTAAAGTTGTTTAGCACGTTTTAGCACTAAATTTAGAATACACAATTTTATTAGTCTTTCTCCCTGTAGAACACAATGTTCATTCCTAAATGTCGTTTTATTTTTTTTCTTTAGTTATCACAAATTATTGTTCCTCGTATTTATTATTGTTTCAAACATTAACGGAGCTCAGATGCTTTCAATGTTTTGTATCAATGCAATTATAACTTTTTTAATTACACGTTTACGATGCCCGAAACGTTGGGTCACACTGGGAACAGGCTGTTTTTTCGGTAACTTTTCTTTGTTGGTATATGCTTTCATATCAAAGTAAACCACTTTCTACCGATGAGGTCATCAAAAGAAAAAATATATATATACCAATTGGGTTTATGAACATTATTCCATATGGTAAAGAGCAGGACTATGGATTTGGAGGAGGTGTAGTTGGTGTTGTATGCGATGAAGGTGATGCACTGGCAACCATCGTTGGACTGGCTGGCTGTTGTAATGGCAGGAACGCTGATCCCAAACTAGGTTTTAACTGGAATGCTACACACGGCTTTGGGCAATACTCTAGTTTGCTCAAGTCTATCATGGGTCGCCTATACATACAAATAGTTCATTCAGTTTGCTGTAGAATAATTTTCATTGTTACTTTAAGTATAATTAAAGTCAAGCATAACAGAAACATTCATTTCACTTTCATTTCAATAAATTTAGAATATCTTCTGAAGCAGTGATAGGTAAAAGATTTAGAAATATAAAGCTAAAGAAAAATAAAAATTTTTATATTAAGAAACTGGCTATCCATCAGTGCCCGCGAATACACGCCATTTACACCATCACTATTCTAAACAAGTATCAGAAATAATATTCTGAAAATATAAAAAAAATACATATGTGTAAATGTTATCCTATAATGCAGTTTCGGTTACCTTCAAAATAATTTAACTTCTTTTATTACAAAACATTCATGTAAATAAAAATTACCTGGCATCCTCTACGAATTTAAGATTGACTTTCTCACAGCCATCGGGTGGTTCTCTTGCAAGGAACCTATTAATGTGAGGAGAGGTGCCAAGACGTCCTTCTCTATCTTGTTCAGGGGTTGAACCACGACTTCCACCTTTAAGATAATGCAGAATATATCAATCAATAACAATATAAAAATAATGCACATACACACTGTTTACATCAATTAAAAAAAAATATGTTTAATCCATGCTATTAATGGCTTAAATCATTCATATGCTCATACTTATGAACATACATTCGTGTAAAACGCAAACAAATAATGTAGATATGATAGTTGTTTACATACCAAATATAGACCATTCAGTTTATTAATAACACATACATATATATAAATAAATTTGGAAACTTGTAAAAATATTTCATAATACAAGAATATGATCTTGATGACATTAAATCTTCACATTTAATGGCTTATAAATAAAGAATAAAAATCAAAATTACTATTTTAACAAGTATAAAAATTATATATTGTTTTGTCATGCAACTTTTGTTTTGATATTATCAATTTTCACTAAGTTAATTTTTTATTTAATAATAATAAGATGCGTATAATCAGGATCATCTATGTAAAATAATTATATAAAATATTGAATGCAAGCATCGAAATAATAAATAATAAAAACTATATAGTAACTACATTTTAATTTAATTTAGACTTGTATAAAAAATTACCTCGAATATAGCATACTGATAGTAATTGATATTCTGACATCCTATAAAATACATACATTCCAATATTTGAAAACAAAACAGCTCATGCACATATTTCAGGATATATGTATGTACATATATATGTATATGTATACGTATTTACGAAATAGTAAAAAATTTATAATAGACATATGAAAGCTCATCAACTATTATATTTGGATAGGGGTGTTCAAAAGAAAAAAAAAGGATAAACAAATCTGTTTGAAGGGATCTCATGAAAAATAAAAACATTTCCGCAAATATGTGCCAACCTTGTAAGAGATCGCTAGGCGGACGGGAGGCATCCATAAGACCAGGAATCAGCGGAGACTCAGAATTCCTAGATGGAGGGCCTGTCTCAACAGGCACACACCATAGTTAGTCTGTTATTTATAGTGTTACCAGTAACCAGAAATACTTCACACACATATATGTATATATTTGTATAAAATATGTGTAACTTTTATTATGTTCCCCAAATTACAAAAACTACATTATTACGAACATTAAAAATAAACATTACGTACAATCATTAATTTGGGGATATTAATATTCTGATTATAGGTGGTTTTTATAATTGTTAACATAAAATTTATTATAAGTTCATGTATGATCTAAGAATACTGACAACTACTTTTCATGTATCTAGGTACTATTAAATAATATTAGATAAAATGTAAACTTACCTGAAGAATAAGAACTGGAGGGAAGGTCGGTAGCTGGTGTTTGTGTGTTGACACTGCGAGTAGCCCTCAGTAGGTCCGCTAATGGTGCACGATGTCCTTCTGGTGTTATTTGTTCACGATATCGTGCATACTGCAAAATTAAATATTTAAATTACAACGAATTCTCAGCACTGAACTTAAGTCTGAACTGCGTCAAAATTATGAACATCATTTACCTTGTCTTCCACTGGATGATCAGGATCACTAGGGTTGGTTGCAGATTTAAGAACTAGTCCTTCAATTTCTTGATTTAATCCTTCAATAGAGGAACGCATTGGAGGCCTCATTGGTTTTACGGGTATGTTCATAGGACTTGCTTTTGTACTCAAACTAAATTGATTGTCTATAGGAAATGATAAAGATATGTCAAGCAAGTCTGTGAATAAAAAGATCTATTGTAAAATTATGTATTATTAAATGAACTTACGTATAGACGTTTGTGAAGCAATACTAGGTAAAACAGTATGATCTGCAGGAAAAGCTGGTGGTGGCCCACCAGGCATTATGAGCCCAAATGCAGCTGTTCGTTCTCTACTACTAGTGCCTTCCTTATTTGTACGTTGTAACCTATATCATATTATTTTTAAATAAATCAGTAGAAAAATGTTGAAATATATTAATCAAAAATAATAACATAAATTAGCTACACTTATATACTATTACCACACAAGATTTCTACATACCGATGCCTGAAATATTTTTCCAGTTTCTCATCTGTGGTAGTTTGTTCTGTTGGGTGACGTGTATGTAATTTTCTTGGTTCATTGGACCATTCTTCTGTCTATAAAATGGATATACAAAATGAAAAAATTTTATCATGAAATGATAATGGCACATTGATAAGAATAAGAGCAATTAAACATACCTGTGTAGATTTGTCAACCAAAAGAAGACTGGAATGAATGTAATACGAATCACGAGGCCATTGTCCCTTCAAATAGATAGTATCTAATGATGCTGTCCTTCGAATATTCTGATTTCCACTCAAACTTTCACTGCATCTTCCACTTAATGTTTTTGATTTTGCTGTATATAACAAACAATACAGTTAAACCTAATTAAGTAAAATAATGGAATACATACCAGAACCGGACTATCAAGAATATATTCGGTTGCTGGATAAAATAAACAAAACAAATAAATGTGTTAGTAAAATAAAAACTGTATTAACAAAAAGAAAAGGAAAAAAGGTAAAAACATTTTGTGGAACCGACCTAAATGTGTATCTTCGGTTACCAAATTAATTGGTATATTAGATTAAAATAATTTAATACATTAGACAACAAAGAAATAGGCAACAAGAAGTTCATTTTATGTTTTAAATATTGTTATCAAATACGATTTAATGCAACATGTACATGCTATTTTAGAATTATGAAGTAATGTACAGATTAATATACTGTACTATATCATATGAAAAAATTATGTTGCTTCAGAAAATCTATGTTGTAAAAATTTGAAATACACTTAACATTCCTGTTATACTTTGATTTTTTCCATGATTACATTTATAATTAACTATATACATACAACACACACTTTATGCATAGTAATGTTAATTCAATCTAAACAAGTGGTATAAAATGTTATAAAGATAACATTATGAATACTTGTAAACCACAGAAGTGACAATAATACACTTACGAACATGTAATTGATGAAATACCAAAGCTGGGGAAAATTTACAATCAATATTATTTAATTTTTATGCTTTCCATTTTTTTAGACATCAAGAAAAGAGAATAATGAGTTCTAAATTCACTGATTACTTTCTCATTATTATTTCATAAACATGACCATACTTTTCAAGAAAGATATCTTAATCAATTCTATAACACAAAACTGTAAATCTAAGAACTAGTTATTTGAATGGTTTGATTACTTTAATATCAAATAATTATTATTTCAAACAATGCTTTATTTACAATATATTCTATCCATTGAGGAAATAAAAACATTTATTCACAATTATGTATTTTAAACATTTATCCTCCTCAGCTCTGTTAAATACATATGTAAACAGGGCCACATTTACCATTAAATGCTTTAGACACAAATTGGAATTTGACACTTTACCGGTTCACATTTTAAAACATTACTCTTCTTTTTTACAACAATATAATAAAGAGTCAGTTATATTGGCAATAACCTGCAATATTATTTACAAGAATAATTTAACAACTAAAGAAACAGCGAAAAGCTATTTAAATATTTGACACTTTTTCAAGAAAGGTATAGATCAAGACAAGTACAAAATTAGTATTTCACAAACTAATAAGACTGACATTAACTGAGTAAAGTTTATTAATGAAGTTAATGCCAATATTGATGTTTGACATATATTTATTTCTAAATGAATAAGTAAAGAATAAATCTTTCTCAAATGATCTGTTGTTATTATGCATTGCATCAGATGTAGTGAAAACAATTAATTATGATAATTAGGCTACAGATGTATATGTATTTATGATATATCAAAGTCTGCAGAGTAAAAGATTTGCATTGTACAGGTTACATGATGTATTTGTATATTTTCTACACTTCAATGTATCACAAATGCATAAACATTCATAGCCTAACGATGACATTACAGATATATTTACTAAATTCACAGACAGAAAAAGTGTTAGATATTCATTGTTTTTCTAATTTAAATTTAAACTTATTTATATTCATGTTGTCTTTCTAATAAAAATGCATATTTATACTAATGTTATGTTAGTTTTATTTTATTGAAACAAATTCTCATGGAAGTATTGACTTTTATTTTCAGTAAATTTGAAAACAGAATGTGTATAAGCTTAATTAATTGAATAGATCTTGTTTTGAGATCTCATAATGATGTTGCACTTAGGATTTCCAAGAGTACAAATGCGGCCCTGTATGTAAACTATACGAAGATACAACAAACATTAAAACTCGTATTGTGACATCGAGAAAAAAAGTGACCCGAAAAATTGTTCCGAATCAAGAATTCGAAGGAAGGATGATAGAAAAACAAAATGACAGACACAACAAAGAAGCGAACCAAAAGATAACAGTGTATTATGTGGTAAGGGCATCGACGTAGGTAGAGTAGCGCGGAGCGTAAATACCTTTGTAAGAGAGGGAACCGGGGCTTCGTTGTCCCGAGGAAGAGGTCTCCGGCGAGATGCGGGCCCGCCACGCACTCGCGTTCGTCGGTGACACGGTAGGGCTGTTGCTGTTGCTCTTCCTGAGGCTGCTACCCTGCCGGCCTTGTCGTAACAGCGAGCTTACGGGAAGAGTCGCGCGCATTGGGCCTTGCTTCGACGTCGAGCATGGCGAAGACTTTCGCATTCGCTGTGATCCCGACATTTTGTCATATAGGCAGGTGCCACAGGGG